ATATATATATATATATATAATAAAAGAATAAAATAATAATAAAATTTAAAAAAATGGGTGCATGTGTAGCGTGAGTATTATGAGACTAACCAGGAGACGGAATGTGTGATACTAAAATACTAAAATAATATATAATAATAAAATAATTTAAAAAAAACTGGGAGCGTGTGTAGCGTGAATTTTATGAGACTAGCCAGGAGGGGGAAAGTGTGACATTAACATAATAAAATAATAAATAATAATAAAATATTAAAAAACAACAAAACTGGCAGAATGTGTAGCGCAAATTTTATGAGCCTAGCCAGGAGGGGGAAAAGTGTGACACTAAACGACGAAGTCACATTGAGATAACGAAGGATGCATTTCAAAAGCTAAGCAAAGTATTATTCTTTTATGTGTTGTGTCCCTTCAGGATGTAGGCGATCATGGCCCTTCACATCACGTTTTGTCTTTTTGTTATTTCTTCGAAACCCTGTTCTTCTATCTATTTGCTCAAGCCCATCAAGTACATCACGCGCTGCTTTCCCCTGTAGCTCTTCCTTCTATCTGTCCTGTGAGTATCAGATTTACCAAAGCGCTCTTAATTCATTATGTGTCCCAGAAATTTTCATCTGCTTCTTCCTAACATTAACCATAAGTTTCCATTCTCTGCAAGACCTCGTCGATGCTCACGGTTTTCGGCCATGATATCCTCTGTACCATTCTGTAGAACCACTTGTCTGTTACTCCACGACTCTTCTTCATTTCTTCATGCAGGAGGACAGATATCACGTAACAGTTCAGTAGTCTTTTCTTTGTTTTCAACGAAATTTTCCTGTCTCCTTAAAAACATTCATTACAAAAAAAAAAAAAGTGTACTGAACTGTTACTCAATATCAATACGCCAAAGGATGCTGAACAGTTACATGAAAGACTGGGAGCAGCAGAAATCTGGTTGTACAGGAGGATGCGGAGAATAACATGGACCGACCATGTGAAGAACGACGAAGTTTTAGGGAAAATGGAAATAAAAATTACACTTATCCTTAACATCAGCCAAAGACAGAGGTAATTTCTAGGCCACATAATGAGGAAAGAGGGGTAGAAAATTTGACACTCAATGGACAGATTGAAAGTAAGAAGGTTAGATGAACACAGCACATAACACATACCTAGTTACATTGAGTAAATCGATCGCATAACCTACCTAGCTAGCTTGTGTAAATAGATGGTATAAACTACCTGTTTAGCTTGTGTAAATAGATGGCTTGCTCTACCAAGTTAGCCTCAGTAAATGGATGGCATAACTGACTACTTAGCCTTAGTAAATGGATGGCATAACCAACCAAGTGAGTTTGAGTAAATGGATGGCATAACATAGCAATTTAGCTTGAGTAAATGGATGACATAACTGTTGAAACTTGACTAATGCATGGAATAATAATGCAACACAAAAGGTACTTAGAAAAAAATGTATTGAAACAAGAAAGTGTACACAATATTTACATATAGTCTTTTGTATATTCCTGGTAAGACCGTTCCTGGAGAATGTGTTGACTGAGTCGCAGTCGGGCAGAGTCTCGGGTTGAATCTCTTGATTCCCCCCCCCTATCTTCCCGGTACCAACCATATTTATATGGTCGGTCCTCCACTATGCAAATTAGATGGATCCTACCACAACAATAACCCACCTAGTTAGCTTGTGTAAATGGTTGGTATAAACTACCTATTTACCGTGAGTAAATGGATGGCTTACCCCACCAAGTTAGTTTCAGTAAATGGATGGTATAACCTACTTAGTTAGCCTGAGTAAATGGATGGTATAATCTACGTAGTAAATGGATGACATAACTTGCCCCGTTCGCTTGAGTAAATGAATGACAAAACCAACCCAGTAAGCTTGAGTAACTGGATGGTATAACCTACCTAGTTAGCTTGAGTAAGTGGATGGAATGACCAATCTACGTAACTGGAGTAAGGCGTTACAAGGTTTTGGAGCTATAACAGAAAACATAATTTATTAAGAACTACAAAGTACAGGATATTTTTTAGAGTTAGGATCGTCTTTAAGGGACTCGGTATATTCACTTTGTATTCCATTAGTATAAAGGATTTTCTCTTCACAATGCCACTTCCCAGGATCCATTATTCTCTGAATCAATCTCCCAAGGCAATGCTTCTCTGAACACTACAACGTTAAGTTCTTCAAGACTGAGGTCAACCCTTACCTATCGTCCGTATTCACAAAATCTATACTTTCTTCTCTCTCCTAGGCTCATACAACAAGCGCATTTATCAACCCTAAGCCTTGTACTGAATGAACATTTGGATAAAAAAGCAGCAACATATTTTAATTCTTCTTTTTTTTCAGAGACTATCATAAAAAATGTAAGCATCTGTTTATATTGCGGAATAATGGTAACTGCCTCCTTGGACAATATTCATTCCTTTAGTGTTCAGACCGAAGTGACCTTTATAGAGCGCAGGCCTGTATGATGATAAAGGGTGTTTCATTAAGACGGATTATATATAAAGGTTTTTCATTAAGATGGATCAAAGTCAGCAGTAAATAAATCAGTGTTATTGGTGAAAATTTATTTATTTCTCTATTGGATCATGTTATTTAAGTCATGGGAATTATGTGTGAAAAATAATATCTCCTAAATGTCCACCAAATTTGAAAGGAAAAGAAAAAATCATTAGACGCTTAAACTTAATTCACATTTAAAATCGGTCCAAGTTATTGGAACACCCTTTAGTATAGTATCGATTATCCTATATGGCAGTCAACTTTTTTTGCAGAGTATCGACTATAGAGTCTTGGTGATAAATTAAAACCTAAATGATAATGTTTTCGAGACACTGTAGAGGCGGTTGTAATGCATAATGCCACTGCTTGGACGTTAACTAAAATCCTACAGTTTGATCTTGATGGAACCTACATCCAGATGCTGAAACTCTGAGAGCTATACTTAACATCTCTTGGAGACAACATCCAGCTGAATCTAAGGGTGTTTCATTAAGACGGATTATATATAAGGGTGTTTCATTAAGACGGATCAAAGTACATTACCTTCACTTACGTGCTAATAACCGTAGGAAAAGTATGAATCTACTTCTTCTCCCACTAGCTATGGGTAAATAGCAGGACAGTAAATACAGTGTGGCAAATGGTCTACCGCAAAAAGAAATGGCATCCTTCTGAGGAAATAGAGCTGCCTCGTCAGTCATGTATCGAAAGATACATGATCGCCCAAGCGTGTATCACATATGGCACATAACTGACTGATACATTATATCTCATCTCAGAGATACAGACAAAGATGCTATCTGAGCTTTATTGATACAGTGTGTTTTTTTTCCTTAAATAGTAATGATATTAATGATCTGTATAGTAACAAACGACGAAAAATGTGACACAGAAATCCGAAGAGGAAGATGCCATTTAAAAACTAAGCAAAATATTAAGAGAATGGCAAACTTCTTTAAATACAAAGAAAAGTGTGCTTAACTGCTATGTGTTATCTAACCTCAATGATGTCAGTGAATGTTAGACAGGTTCCTCATTGATGAAGAGTGTGTATTTTTGTATGTAAATTTCTTGTATTTAAATATATTTATTTTCTTTATAAATTGTGTTGTATTCTGGGAAGAGCGATATTATGCGGAGAGACACCGATAGCTTCGTTTAGCTCCTGTTTTTGTTTTGTTGTTGAATAACGTCTTTCTTAAGGTTATTGTTGTGTCGTCTTGCTGCTACTTTGAATTACGTTCAAAATTCATAACACTATGCAAATAACATGTGAACAATGAGGAAGTCTAAAGGAAAAAATCGAAACAACATGGAAAGCCCCTGATTTTTTTTTTTTTTGTGTGTTTTTTTTTTGTTTTGTTTTGTTTGTTTTTTTGGGCGGGGCGTGTTGAAGAAAGCCTTTCTTAAGGTTATTGTTGTCTCGATTTCCTGCTACTTTTAACTCAAAATTCATGACCCTATGAACAGAACATGTGAACAATGAGGAAGTCTTAAGGAAAAAGTCGAAACAACATGGAAATCTATACTTACAATCAAAGAGAGGCAATTTAATTTTTTGGGATATGTAATGAAAGGAAAGAAGGCTTGAAGAATATGACATAGACAAGACTTACTGAAAGCATGATAAGCAAAAAGAAACAGCAAGTTTGGGGAAATATATGGCCAAACAGGAAATAAATAAAGGTTGTAAAGAGTCAAAAGTCACTTAAATCAATAAAATGTTTTGGAGAGTCATGATTGCCTACGTCCTGAAAAAAATAGGTTTTTATCTCATATACAATCGTATACAATCGTTTTCTCATGCCAATGATTAAAAATGGCTTTGAGTGAGTGAAGTGTGGGTCTTGGCAAAAACCGTCCAGTTTCGAACCTTGTGGACCTGGCGCTATAGAATCACAAACAAAGAAATGTACCAAATAACAGAAATCACATCAATATAAGCAACAAGTAAATGGATATCACATGTAATTCGAAAGGAAAATAAGAACATAATCAAGATGTTTACGTTCCACACTACTTCAAACAAAAGGTTAGGAAGGAAACCATCCAACAATACGGGAAAGAGCGATGACAGCTACTGGACGTGAGAAATCTATTTTACTGAAAAATTGTTTTGTAAATTTCAACCAACAGTAATAATGACTGCTCAGTCAATGAATGCCAAATGTTTTCTTATAAGGAAACGGTTAATAATGCCATTACCATTTGTCGTTGAAGTTTTTTCAGATATATACATATTAATAAACTAAGTTAGTGTTATGGTGAAACACATCTATTCTATAGTTAATAGACACTCCCACCTAATATAAGTAGGAGTAGTAATAGAAACGACGGTCAGTCAATGTCAGACGACAGTTAGTCGAATACGAAAGTATCAGCGACCACAACAAGATTACTCTGCGTAATACCTATATCAAGTTCCTAACGTTTTGTACGTCGAACCTATTCTAGGACCGATTTAATACAAATACAAGCCTCCACTGCGAAATCACTCCACAACAGATAGATAGATAGATAGATAGATAGATAGATAGATAATATTTGTGTATTTATAATCCCTCCTAATAATAATCTATTCTCACAAACTCGTTAGATAGGTTACCCGCAGTTTCCCTCTTCTCCTCTCCCCTTCAATATGTCCTATGAGTGTCAAATTCTCCAAACCCCCTTTTCTCATTATGTGTTTCGAAAATTTAAGTGTCCTTTTTGTTGCTATTCTCCTTAAGACTTTCTTGTTTGTCATATGTTGCATCTCTGTCATTATCAGCATCTTTCTCTAGGATCCCATTGTCGTTGCCTCAATTTTAATCTGTGAGAACATTGTCCCACATTCACTGTCATATAGAGGGATTAGTATTACATAACAGTTCAGCAATCTTTATTTCGTGTCTATATAAAAGTTCCTATTTTTTTAGTTCTATTTTTAGCTTTTGGTACTTTTAATGACTAGAAGCAACGAGGTCTTGCTCATCAAATGCATGCAAGTGTAACGCAGCTTTCTAGTGGCTGCTTCAGGATCCCAGGCAATAACTCTTCTCCCAGTTTGGTTTCTATGGTCGTTAGAAGGGCAATCGATATTCATGACTGCTAGAAATATTCGGCAAACTAACAAGCTTGAGCAAATGGATGGCAGAACAGGAACTGGATGTAATTGGTGAAATGAAAAACGGCACCAAGAGATACAAAGGATAGGAAGTTTTGGAGAACCATGATCGCCGAAGACCGGAAGGGTCCCGACATAGAAGAATTGTATTAACCAATGATACTCTTTTCCCAACTGGACTTGAAACTAGTATCAGTTCTGTAGGATAGGAAATAGATTATATTTTTGTTTCACCTGAGCAACTAAAAACTCCCCATTGAGCTTGTCTACTGGAGGTGTCTCAATATAAAGTTTTCCAGGCAACGGTTGGTGCCTGTAAAACAAAACGTCAAGGACTCTTCTTCAATTAAAGATGATCGATTAAAAAAAAAACAATGTTTGCTTTAAGATGTTATGTTTGAAATTAAATATAGACTTACCTGTAAAAAAATCGTGCATTGTTTCTGTTTTCTTGCTTCGTAAGAAGTATCGGGTGGATATTTTAAACATTTTACTGTGATTTATTTATTTATTTTACTAGTTTTATTGGCAGGGTTCTTCTTATTTGAGATCTTCTTTTTTTTAAATAGATGTATGCTGCGTGTTTTTGCTTGCAAAATAAAGCGATATAAAGTCGATTGTCTTTTAGGGAGAAAATGAATACATTGTAACCACAAAAACACTCACTATTCGTTCGTCCTCGGTATGACGATAAACTACACCCGGCAGCAAGGCTTCTGATAGGGAACACTGATAGGAGCGTGGAAAAACCTCTTAATTGCTATTATTCTCAGGTCCTCCCTGACTCGGGCTGATAGCACTGTTAAGGTGCCAGTTACGGTCAAATAGTTAATCCCCAAACTGGGGTCAAAACACTACGAAAGCATAAAAAAATTATAGTAAAATAATACATTTTATAATAACAGCAATACATTTTCATAGCAAAAAAATTACACACAAATATATATTAACAGCAATACATCTTTGTCAAAAAAAATAATTCCCAGCAATACATTTTTGTAACAAAAAAGAAAAAAATTACAAGTAATAGATTTTTAGTAAAAGAAATTACTAATGTTCCCAAGAAAATTAAATTCGGTATTAAATGACCCATAAGGAGTTGATATGCCGCTAAACAAACAAAGATTCGTTAAAATAGAACACAATTCTAAAATCAATGACTATTTATATGAATAGTCGATTTTAATACCATGATCAGAAGATAAGAGGCTTATGAATTTTAGACTGGACGAAAAGGAAAAAAAAAAGCAGGATTTAATTTTTATTTAATATAAAATACATGGATTAGCTTTAGTATTTGAAATGACACCTCATCCTAGTTGCTATTTTGCAGTAATAACTATCATATCTTGATTCCACGAACAAAGGATTTTCAGGAATTGCTTCTGGGTCTCCCACAGTGGTTGCAGAAGGCAACTGAATTACCCTTAAATTTGTACGAGTAAAGTTTTAAAGTAGAGTGCGAGGGTGCGCAATACAGACCCCATCATTTATACTAGGGATACACGTGCCATGACACAGTAAACTGGAAATATGGCCATTAGATTTTGAAATCGTAGGTTTGCTATTAAATGTCCAGTCCTCACTTTCCAGTCTCGATAGAGTTCAAGTTCGAGTCCTTGTGGGTGATGAATTATTTTCCACCCCACTCCCAACCTCTCTCTCACAGGCGGGGGTGTGGCCAGCCTCGAACTACTCTATCGCTACTTCCAAGGAAAGTGCTCGGACGAACTACATTCCTTGGTTTCGCCAGGACTAACCTTCACGGCCATGCAAATTATACTGTAGTAGACCACCCACATTCCATCATCCCCTCCGTATTCCATTGGTGAGAAGTAAGTTCCACTCGAACAGGTTCTTCCCGCGAACCACTGCTGTGTGGAACAAACTCCCAAGAGGATGTTTCCCCGTTCACTAGCATCTTTTCTGTTTAAGTCTAGAGCTAACCGTTATCTTCTCTTTCTCTCTGTATAAACTGCCCAATAACGTAAACTTCTACATTGAGTGGCCCCGGGCGTTGTACAGGGTGAACCTTCTGTAAAAAAAGAAAGAAAAAGTTCACTTCTCCTAATCGACTGAAGATCGTCTTCTGCCTTTCCAAGAAAGAATTTCGGCACTATGTACTGAGTGCGGTGGATAAATTGTCTTTTAAATGACGCAAAAACGAAAATAACATTGCCATCTAATTTTAACAGTTATATATTTACCAAACTTATACAAAAATGTTTTGAAATGCAAAAAAGTAAATTTATTCAATAAAATCACCATCGGCTTCAGCCACGGCTTCCAGACAACTTTGGAATCTCCTGTAACTCTTTTGTACGGTCTCCTTGTTTAATTTGGTGAATGCTGCCATTATCCCTGCCTTCTGTTTATCCTTGCCGTCACAAGCAGTTTCTTTTGATCTCTCGCTCAACTGCGACGCACACAAGGGAGATGCAGTCTGGGGAGTTAGGTGCCCAGATGTAATGTGTAATGTAGGCGCAGAAAATGTCTGACAGCCATGTCTGGGTTTTCCTGCTTGTGTGTCATACCGCAAAATCCTGGTGCCAGACATAGTATCTTCCAGCAGCCACTCAATTCAACCAGAGCAGCACTACCTCCTCAAAGCATTTGATGTAGAAATCCGTGTTGTGTTTGAGGCCTTCACAAACAAATTCGGGCGCTCTTTTCTCATCAAAACAATCAAAGTGAGGTTTCCGAGCTGCCGTACCTTCGAAATTAGCATTAGACTCTTTCAATTCTTTTCAAATCTTCTACGCTGTCTTCAGATTGACATTCTGAAATAGCCGGCGAGAATGCCAAGCAATACAGTTCGCCGTTTCTAAATTTCTGGGGGAGTGAATTGCATCATCGTGCTCTTTTTTCTCACAGACGGTGCTCAACTGACTTTACTATACTGTGCAGTCGTTAAAATCAAAAACAAACAAGGCGCATGCGCGAAATTAAAAATATAAAATGGCGACAATTCACCCATCGCACCCTGTATGATCTGAATAGATTGTAGCTCGTTTCAGACTTCTCCACTGAAGTGTGCAGCTTTTTTTTTATAAGAGTCCCTTAAAACCATTCATTTTCTTGCGATTATATCTATCTTTCCACCTCTCACTACACTAGAATTTAGGATATTTTTTTTGCAAATTTAGGAACAGAATGGAAAAATGATTTATCATTCAATAAATAAGAAGTGAAGAAAAGAAGTGGTGTGAGCTCATGTGGGATACGACTATCTTGACTGACAAGCGCTTGGAGAATAATCGCCCTGATATGATTCATGAGCACAAGTTATGAACAGATCCTGATAGATCTTGCTGTACGTATGGGTAAAGAAATTTGTGGGTACCTGACATCATTGGCCGTGCGAAGGTGGCAACGCTACCTGGAGTTGTGTCTCTAAGTTCCAGGTTGGAGCAGAGATATGACAATCATTTTCTTGACTGAAACATTTAACAGTCGGAGAGCATATCAAATTGATTGATTGATCCGTTTTCTAGGGTTTATCATTGTAAGAAATTATTTTGAAATAATAATAATGCTTTAGTGATACAAATCTTGGTTGCGTCTCTGTCTTTGGGCAGAGTGCGTTCAGGGGAAGCTCTGTCAAAGAACAAAGTCGCAACTGAGAAAAATTATACTGAGAGATGTCCAGCCCTGGGAAACAGCTACCTGAGGCCGCACCCTCTCATTGCACTAGGGAGAGGGATCGGTGCCTGCACTGAGGCCAGCACAACCGACGGTTGCGGGGACTCGGAATTTTTGTTCCTAGCCCGGGTGTACGCGCTCGGGTCCCCACCTTAAAAACTGACCTTGTGCCACAACTCGTTATAGTGGGGAGACAGATACCTAGTGATACAAGTCTTATTAATTAACCCATTGCCGGGGGTGAATAGGTGGGTTCATAACTTCCCAAGGCTATTTACGTGTAAGTGAATCTCGTCAGAAATTAAAACTTGGCTCTCCGATAAACAGAGCCACTATTACACCATCCGCACACCCTAGCTTACAGCACCTGGTATTCCCAGCTGAGAAGATCAGACGTTGCTTAACTTCGGTGATCGTACGGGAACCGATGTTTCAACGTTGTATGGCTGTAAGCCACTAGACAAAATGTGGCAACTATATTCAAAGCAATTACGTAAACTGCATATACAAGCTTACAGTACCTGGTAATCACAAGCTGTTACCCATCTAGGGACAGACCAGGCTCAACGTTGCTTACATTCGGTAATCGTACGGGATAATAATAATAATAATAATAATAATAATAATAGGAGAAGGAGGGGGGAGAGAAAAAGAAGAAGTTGAAGACTGGCAGATATAATACTAATAATAATATGAGGAGGAGGGGGAGGAAGAAAATGACGAAGACTGACACATATAATAATAATAATAGGAGGATGAAGAGCAGAAGAAGAAGAAGAAGAAGAAGAAGAAGACTGACAAATAATAATAATAATAGGAGGAGGAAGAGGAAGAAGAAGAAGAAGAAAAAGAAGAAAACTGACAGATGGAAAAATAATAATAATAATAATAATAATAATAAAAGGAGGAAAAAGAAAAGAATTCCAGATATAATAATAATAATAATAATAATAATAATAATAGGAGGAGGAGGAAGAAGAAGAAGAAAAAAAAAATAATAATAATAATAATAATAATAATAAAAAGAAGAAGACTGTCAGATATAATAATAATAATAATAATAATAATAATAATAGGAGGAGGAGGAAGAAGAAGAAAAAGAAAAGGAAGAAGAAGACTGTCAGATATAATAATAATAATAATAATAATAATAATAATACAAAAACCAATGTCTTCTCATAGATATGGTAGTGCCAACAGATCAAAATAAATCTGTTAAAGAATATGATCAAATAGATATAAGGATCTTTGAATCGAAAATTTTAAAAAAAATGGTTCCATAACACTACTGCTATATTTATATTGACTGGGAGGAAACAGAAGGAAGAATATTAACAAAATACCAGCTATCTCCATTTTACAAGAGATTAAAAAGACGCATCTATCACATTTGGTCTGATGCTATGGCTACGTATTTAGAAATTCTTGATAAAATGCAAATAAAAATCTGCAACGTAATCAGTCCTGACTTGGCATTTCAATAGAGAGAAACAGACTGAAGATAGATAGATAGATAGATAGATAGATAGATAGATAGATAGATAGATAGATAGATAATGAACAGACTGTGTGTAGATAGATAGATAGATAGATAGATAGATAGATAGATAGATAGATAATGAACAGACTGTGTGTAGATAGATAGATAGATAGATAGATAGATAGATAGATAGATAGAACCAAGAAACACCGTTAAAAAGATATAAGTGCTAATCCACCGTAGATATTTAGTATCCACTTAGTATAATACAGCTGGACAATGGGTAATAGTGAACTACTTAATGAGCTTCGAATTCATATCACTAGAAATAGCCAAAGACTAAGAGACTAGCTCGCTCACTAGACACTCTATGGCAAGTGCAACACCTATAAGCCCACTGTACTGCATGGAACTCAGCCAGTCCGGCTTCTCTGACGTCTAGATCTGACAGGATCAGTGTAAAAACTTGTGCTTCTTGAACAGGCATTTCTTATCGGCTTAAGCCATCGAACGAAAGACAAAGAGGATTAATAGAACGAGAAACGTGAGTTTTATCTAAAGAAAATGAAATGCGAAGCGCAGTTTCTTTCCTATTATAATCTGAACGATATATTTCAATCAATTTCTTCCACATCTTCAATGTAATAAGAGATAGCGTGTTGAGACAAAAAGAACGTATAAAGAAAAAGTTTCAAAACGAAAGGAACTTCAGTGTTTAAAAGAGAGAAACCTAATCGAAAGCAGTTAGTCGTTAGCTTAAAAATGATGTTGTGTAACCAGATATATGTTATGTGGACTTGGTTTGATCTGCTCGTTCAGAGCTGATAATTATAATTACCTAAATATTATAACTTATTCCATGCTTAGAATATTGCTGCCACATAGTCCTGTGACCCTGCTATTTAGTTTGAGCTCCTTGGTAAGACCCAAAGAAGAATCAGCAATATTATTGGTCCTGATCTGGCGGCTTAGTTCCAGTCACTTTCCCACCGCCGTAAGGTTACCTCTCTATGTCTTTTTTATAAATACTTAGATATTGTAAATACTCATTGTGACTCCACACGTTCGGTCTTGTGCCGCATATAAGGTACGCATAAAAATTTAGGCATCTCGACGTGATGTAATGGTCACCAATCTTGTCTCACTAGAATAATTACGACTGGGATTCGATCCTCACTTGTTGCCTTCGTACTTACGGCCTTGTCACATCTAAGCGTCGCTTTTAAAATCATAATATACTGTTGTATCCTCAGCATAGGTGTTCACAAATGATCGAACTATACTCTTCGGCTGATCATTTTTGTAATTTAGGAATAGGGTTGGACCGGGAAACAAGCCTTGGGGATGCCTGCGTTGTTCGCTTGTGCTTCGAAGTATCGCCTGTTAACAAATACCTTCTGGACCAACCCGTTAGGAAGGACTCAAGAACTATTGCAGCGGTTTCATAGATAGAGAGTTTTTGCAGTAACCCTCCATGCCACACCTTGTCAAATGTCTTTGAAATATCTAATGCGATCGTCCTAAAAGGGATAGTTACTAAAACCCATGTTAATTGGCCAGGATAAAACATGTGCATGTCGACTCATTCAGTCAATTCAAACTAGAATCCATGATAGTCATGACTGGTGTAGTATCAGTGCATTTATTATTATTATTATTATTATTATTATTATTGACTGAGAGTAGAGCACGCCAAAAATGTGACACTAGTATACAAATGTGTTCTTCTTTTTCTTTGTGACATGCGTTAGCGGTCATGGATCTTCACAATCTCCTATCCTTTGTAGCTCTTAGTAAATTTTGTCTCTTTGTTATCTGTTTGTCTCTTGCCTTTAATATATCCTGTGAGTGTCAATTTTTCCAAGCCCTCTTTCCTCATTATGTCACCTAGAATTTTCGACAGTCTCTTTCTGATATTAAGCATAAGTGTCCTTTTTTCCATTTTCCGTAAAATGTCGTTATTGCTCACAAAGGCCAATGCACCCATCACGACACCCAATGTTATACCAGCCTCACGCATCACATTACCATTATTATTATTTTTTGTCGTGTTCATGGCTCTCCACAACTTCCTATCCTTTATATAGCTATACAATGTCTGCCTTTTTACTATATTCCCATCGATTATTAGGTAGGTTACTTGTTGTTTAATTCTGTCCCTCTTCCATTCCGTATGCCTGGATTCTCACTATCAGTTGTATGCCATGAGTGATGCATGCTTAGCCGATCATATACATTTCTATACATGACTGACGAGGCTGATTTTTCCCGCAGTAGGTTGCCATTTATTTCTGCGGTAGACCAGTTGCCATCCAAGGCTATAGAACCCGGTCTGTCCTGCTATTTACCCATAGCTGGCGGGGGGGGGGGAGAATAAGAGGCTTCATACCTTTCCCAAGGGTATTAGCACATAAGTCAATGCTCTCCGATTCTTCAATCCGAGCCGCTATCCATTACTCCACCGTGCCTCCTCCTCGGAAATTGATGTACTGCCGAAAGTAATCGCAACCTACTGCAGGGAAAAAATCTGCCTCGTCAGTCATGTATCTTTCGATACATGATCGCCAAAGCGTATATCATGCATGGCCCATAACTGACTGGAACTGAAGTCCGGAGTTCGAATTCGAGTCGAGTTTATTACATTCAATTATGCAAGGTTCCAGCTTTTCTCCCTCTAGTTATGAGTAAATAAGCAAATATTAGTCAGTTATGTGCCATGCGTGACACACGCTTAGGCGACCATGTATATTTCTATACATGACTGATGAGGCAGATTTTTTCCCGCAGTAGGTTGCAATTTCTTTCTACGGTATATCAGTTGCTATCCAAGGCTATAGAACCCGGTCTGTCCTGATTTTACCCATAGCTGGCGGGGGGAGAAGAAGAGGATACAAATCTTTCCCAAGAGTATTTGTGCGTAAGTGAATATCAGTCAGTTATGTTCCATGCGTGATACACGTTTAGGTGATCATGTATACTTCCATACATGACTGACGAGGCAGATTTTTTTCCCGCAGTAAGTTGCCATTTCTTTCTGAGGTAGAACAGTTGCCATCCAATGCTATAGAACTCGGTCTGTTCTATTTACCCATAGCTGGTGGGGGAGAAGAAGAGGATTCATACCTTTACGTGAATGAATGTAATGGATTCGACTGGAATTCTCGTTATAAGTGTCCTTTTTATATCCATTTTCCTTAAAATTTCATCGTTGTTCGCATATTCAATCCATATGATTCTCAGCATCCTTCAGAAGAATCCCAATCCACTTGTTTCCAGTGTTCTTTTTATCTGTGAGGAAATGGTTCGGTATTCACATACTTATAGGAGGATAGTTATTACATTCACATTGCTGGCAATCTGAAGCCTGTGAACGGATCCAGAGTGCGTTCTCTTAATTCTGTAGCCCTGCTATGTTTGTTATCATATAAAATTTAGTTGGTTGTTATATAAAATTTAGGATAGATATTACATTCTCATACTTATAGGAGGATAGTTATTACATCGCAATTCAGCACACTTTTTCTTTTTTGGCTTTAAAAAAAAGCACAATATATGAATAACTGAGTAAGTTATTGATATCATTTCAAATCTACTGCAATATGCGCTCCCTGGATGATTTTATAATGAGAACCTCACTTGAATTCAGAGAAGTTATTTATTCGATGAAGCGTAATTCTCCTTTGAAGTGACAGATTAAATTAACCAACATAAAAAAAAACATTATTTCCACAGTAAACGCTGTCTTTACCCGTTCAAAATTACTTTCATCATATTTTGAATATATGCGGATGTTGTGATGGATAGCGGATCAGAATGAGAAATCGGACATCCGAGTTCGAATTCCAGCCAAGTTCGTTACATTCACTTACGCACAAATAATCCTTGAGAAAGGTATGAAACCATCTCTTTTCTCCCTAGCTATGGGTTAAATAGCAGGAACTGGAAAAAAGATTTTAATTTCCAAAAATTTGTTATTCACTCGTAAAAAAAAGAATCTTACAATTCAAAAACATGTTTCAGCTTTAAATAATCCATAAAGTGTGTTTGAGCTGTAAAAAAATCAATCAATGCTCTGCCTTGAAAACATTTTAGTATAATTTATAATTTATTCATTGAGTTCGAATTTTGGCTGTTAATAAAAAAAGGCATGAATCCACATCTTCCTGAATTCTATCAATGTAGTGAAAAATATTGCTTATATTTACTATTAATTAAAAATTAAGTCTGATTACGAATACTCAAAAACATCTGTTTGGTTTGGGTTATTTAATTCCGAATTCTTTCGTCCAGTAGGTATAAATTTGTTTTGCAGGAGGGTCAAAAATGGAGACAAAAGTTTGTTTGAATGACAGTCAAATAGTAAACATAGATTTAATTTCGACGTAATTAAAAAAAAATAGACATAGAATTTGGCTTGCACGAGAGTAAAAAAAGGAAAAAAGTTTGATTTGAACGACAGTCAAATGGTAGACATAGTATTCGTTTCGACGTGAGACAAAAGAGGGTAGGCATAGAGGTTAGATTTTGAACGAGGGTCAAAAAAGAAGACAAAATTTAATTTGAACGACAGTCAAATGGTAGACATACTTGTCGTTTCGGCGTGAGTCAAAAGAGGGTAGGCATAGAGGTTAGATTTTAAACGAGGGTCAAAAAAGAAGACAAAAGTTTGATTTGGACGACAGTCAAATGGTAGACATAGTTGTCCTTTCGACGTGAGTCAAAAGAGGGTAGATTTTGAACGGGGGTCAAAAAAGAAGACAAAAGTTTGATTTGAACGACAGTCAAATGGTAGACATAGTTGTCGTTTCGGCGTGAGTCAAAAGAGGGTAGGCATAGAGGTTAGATTTTGAACGAGGGTCAAAAAAGAAAACAAAAGTTTAATTTGAACGACAGTCAAATGGTAGACATAGTTGTCGTTTCGGCGTGAGTCAAAAGAGGGTAGGCATAGAGGTTAGATTTTGAACGAGGGTCAAAAAAGAAGACAAAGTTTGATTTGAACGACAGTCAAATGGTAGACATACTTGTCGTTTCGGCGTGAGTGAAAAGAGGGTAGGCATAGAGGTTAGATTTTGAACGAGGGTCAAAAAAGAAGACAAAAGTTTGATTTGAACGACAGTCAAATGGTAGACATAGTTGTCGTTTCGACGTGAGTCAAAAGAGGGTAGGCATAGAGGTTAGATTTTGAACGGGGGTCAAAAAAGAAGACAAAAGTTTGATTTGAACGACAGTCAAATGGTAGACATAGTTGTCGTTTCGG